ACAGAGGTATCAACTTTGGCAAAAAGCTGTAGAGAGAAGTTTTGGTTGGGCTTAATCAATTAAATGATTATTAATTTTATTATACTGTAGTATATACTATAATATATTTAATAGTAATAAATTTGGATTTTATTCTTAATATTTTTGATTAACTATTAATATTAAAAGAAGAAGTTAATTATTAAAGAAAGTGTTAAATATTTGCTAATATTAAAAATGGTGAAATTTTTAGATTTAAACCTAATTAGAATCTAGGTTTATAAATCTATAATAGGTTTTAATACAATATACAGCATATTCATATTTATAATATATAAAGCTTTGTAATATAAATTTGAATATACTGTATAACAAATTATATAAAGCCACACAAATTTAATTTCTTGGTTTTTACATGATATTTTTAAATAAACCTGGTTGGCCGGCTTTTTTAAAAAAAATTATATACTGTATATAAAATATAAAATTTTTTTTAAAACCCACTCGATTATTAAAACAGCAAAAAAAGAAAATTGAAAATCAAGAAGCTAAGTGATTATCACATTATATGATTAATTATTTGGTCTAAGACATTAGGATTAGTGTTAGGGTTAGATATTACTGTAGTTAGTTTGGGCCAATCTGTTAGTGCAAATAAGGGGAGTGCCGTTTATTACATATTTTTTTAAGGGAGGGGGGGCCTCAACAATTTATCATGTCAATATGTACTATTTATTTCCCACAGCGGCGGGAATAAGAGGTAAATCCCCCAATCAACTGGGGGCCCTTCGGGCCCCCGGCTGATGGAATTAACAACCAATAAATATTCATAAATATGTTTGTACCCAATACGTATTTATACAGGTATTCTTAAAGTTGCTAAGTTTTTTTTTAAAAAAAAAATACAAAAAATTACTATAATTATTATACACATTTTGTATAAATCAGCATGAGGTCTCTAATAAACTATATTAAATTCTATTGTTAGCATTATTATGCTAGAGAATTTGAATTATGCCAAACTATGCTAGTAGGCTCCGCATGGGCCGGAAAGGGCTATGTCCTAGTCCGACTTGAAATCCGCGAATATCCGCGAATATCACCTAATAGAAATAAATGATAAGTTATTAAGAAAAATAAGCAAAAAAGATTTAGCATTAATAAAGAATAATAATCGCTATCACTCTCCGGAGGTTTCGAAAACAGATGGTGACGATGAATCAACAGAAAGAAAAGTTGTGGCTAAAGACTTGAAGTGGAGATCAAAAACCGTAAGTTTTTAATATGCATTTAAAGTTAAACAAAAAGATTATTTTAAAAAGAAAAATCTATATATCTGTATCGTCTTGTACTATTTTTAAGCTGAAAGAGATGTTAAGAAATTACGTTGACAAGATCCATGACGAAACGGTTAAGGTCAAACCATCTCAGAATAGGGTGTATGTAGAAGAGTTTGCAGAGGATAAACCCGTTATATATCAACAAATTACCCCGGATTATATGGCAAGAAAACATCATTCTAGAGCTCTTAATAAGGTCAAATAATGGTGGTTCTGCTTAAAATTGAGATTAGCTAATTGGCTCAGTAAATGATGTATTGAAATATCGTGTAGTCGCTAATATGCAAAGAGGATTTACGGTACGAAATAATGTTATCTTTTACCAAACAAAGGGTATTCTCAAGCGCCTTAATCAATGGGGTAAAAAGCGTCGGGAAATAAAATTTATTTAGCAGAAAATAGTTTAAATTATTCAAGCGTGTTTATCATTAAGATGAATATGTATAATTGATAAAGCTTATTACGTAAATATGACATTTTTATTAATAAAAAAGATTGAAATGAAAGTGTCATTTAAATC